TCTCTCTCTCTCTCTCTCTTTCCCACCATCAACTTCGCATTCGAATACTTCAATACAGGAAAATACATTCTGTTCAACTTTGGCTTCGTTTATCTATTTGATACCATTTGTACAAATAGAAAAAATAGGCACCAAAGGTGAAAAATGATTTCTAGAACTTTTCCTTTTTGTGTATTTCTTCATTGCTTTTCGTAGTAACTATAACACAAGTTTTGTATAGCCCCAAGCTGCGTAGTACGCAAGTTATCACACAGCATAATCGGATCGGATCGGATCAAATAATTGGAGGTCGTGATTTCCTGGAGGCAACGTCTACCCCTGTACAGCTGTGGTAAGTAATCCCGACTTGTGGCCAGGGGTGTCACAAAATGCAACTCCTTTCAGAGTGTACAGAGAGTGTGAAGCTGTGCTGCGAGTCAAGGTTTGACTTATTAACATTAACCCATTGTGTAATGTACGTTCTGACCTTTTTTTTAAACCCTTTGTGCGCTGTGCATTATCGGATTGTTGCACTCCTGTTCATGTACTACACTGCATGTTATAGAGTTGTTTACCTTATGTACTGTATTTAATCTCATTATTGTACTTATGTACCATACTATATCAAATTGCTATACTGTATCTTACTAGCTAGATACGAGATTGTTGTACTTCTGTACCCTTCTTAATCAGATTGTTTTAATGTTGTATCTTACTTGATCTGAATAGAGTACTTCTGCACTGTACTTTAACAGATCTTTGTACTTCTGTTCTATACTTAATCAGATTAGTGTACTTCTATACTGTACTTTAATAGATTGTTGCACTTCTGTACAGTGCTTTTTTCAGATTGCTATACTTCTGTACAGTACTTTATCAGACTGGAGTACTTCTGAATTGTACTTTAACAGAATGGTGTTTTTCTGTACCGTACTTTATCAGACTGTTGAATTGTACCTTTAAAATATTGTAGTAATTCTGTACCTTACTGAATCAGATTGGAGTACTTCTGAACGGCATTTCATCAGATTGTTATAGGCTACTTCTGACTAGTAAGTTCTTGGATTGTTATACTTGTATACTGACCGTTATGTAGCTTAATTGTTGTACTTTTATACCGTATATTTTTTCGGATTGCTGTGTTTCACGTTTGATTTAAATGCAAACTCATCACCACCCATCCCTTTCATTTACACTTTTACAAAAGACTTCATGTAAGCCCTTCCCTATCCACGTTTACAGAGGAAAAAAAGAAAGTCCAACCTTTAACTGAAAAACCTGTTGAAATGATTCAAATCGGCGGTTGTTGTTTTGTTTGGGGGTTTTTTTCAACTAGTTTGTGACAGCAATGCCCCAACCACCTACACTAAGAGGGAAACTAGTTGTCAGAGTCCTACGTGATAGATAGACACGCGCCTACCGTACGTATATAAACGGACTTTGATCTTGCCATAAATTTGAATTGGGAGAAAAAAAAACGAATTAAAAAAAGCGTGGCTGCGGGCTGAATACATTTATTTGAAAGGGAACCCGCGAAAAACGCAAACTTTCACGGTATAGGTAGTTCCCCACTAAAGTTATTATCTCACCTGCTAATTAGACTAACTACAAAACGGGCAGAAAGAAACAGCTGTTGACCAAGGACAGGTTGGCCTACTTCTCCGCGCTCAGCTGAGCAGCTGTACACTCTTTTCTGAAAAGAAAATTCCTTCAATCGTATTTCACGTTTCAAAGCGTTTCTCATTTAGGCCATCGTTCGCGTTGAGAACTAGTGAACATATCACATTTTCACTTTGATATAAGACAACTTACTGCTGGCGTTCCAATGCGTGTATTATCACTTATAAAGCTATAACATAATGTAAGAAATATATTTTACGCATGCAGTTTCTTTTCACACCTAACCTAGCGAGATCCGTGGATCGCCGGTCCCTATCCCCCCTTGAGCGGAGTGCCCCGGATTCAGGGAACGCGTAGGTGGGTTTTAAGGAAGGGCCCGGCTGGATAAATAGATGGGTGGCTGGGTGGTGGGTGGTTGGTGCAATAGCCTATCTATCCACTTGTCGCCACATTTTTGCTCTTTCAATCCGGTTTGAAACCACGACATTTCTTCTCTCCTACTGTGACATTCGCTGCCCTCGCACGACGACGAAGCAGTTTGTCAAACGCACCCTTAAAAAAGAAAATGAGAAAGAAAAAAAGTGATGATTCGGAAAATATTTGCACCATTCCGAAACACTGCTGACACTCCTTTCAATAAAAACAGCAACAAGTTTCAGACCTTGGATGACGTTTTGTAATAACTGAATAATCCTATGCCTTGATCATCGGTGGGAAAAAACAACCCAAAAGAGATACAAGTCATTGGCGACTAATTGATATTCAAACTGGCGCAAACCACAAACTGCCGGATATATCTTCTAAAAGTATTTTGTTTCGTTTTGTTTGCTTGGATCTGTGGTTCTTTACATGCGGTTGTCGGGGAAAGGGGGGGGG